AGCTGCAGTTACAGGCAGTGAACCACCCAAGAAATGCAGGTGCTAGGAACGGAGTTCTGATCCCCTGCCAGAGCAGTACATGATCTTAACTTCTGAGCCATCTCTCTCTCTAGCCTCTCCTGCTGGTTTCTTAACTCGCCAGGTGCCAACGCAGTATCTTGGATTATTTATTCACTTTTCTCCCAAATGCCTTCCTTATTGAATTACTACTCAAAGTTCCTTAAAATTCAGGCACTTTCTGGTTTTTTTCCATGGCACCCAGCTTAGCATTTTATTCTACTGGTAAACTGACTGATGTGGGAGTAATTGTGCATTGTCTCAGAGAGGAAGTGAATTCCATCCATGGGCCAATTCAGTTTCAGGGTGGTGTTTATTTAAAGGTGCTAAGGGCTTAAGGGAGCTAATTCCCAACAAGCAACTTTCCTGAGGGGCCCCTCACCTTGGAGGCCTTGTCAGCGGGGAGACTAAAACCCACATGGAATCCAGAGAGTGGAGGCCCACCCTGCCGTGCTTGAGGGAGTAGGGAGGACACCCCATGCTTCCCTGAGGCTCTCCGGAACTGGGGATTACTGAAAATGCAGCCAGGCGGGTTTAACTGGATCATGAGCACAAAACCCGGGTTTGTTGTTGTTTCTAAACAAGAAGACAACCCTTTTCATGGACAAAGACCGAAAAGAGTCAGTGGGGAAATCCAATCAGTCTCTTTCCAACGAGTATTTCTTGGAAAGGTCTTTACTAGGCTCTGAGCTAGAATGAGGACCGATCTGAGGACCTACAGAGGGACAGAAATCGCCCCAAACACAGGACTTATCTTCACCTGCCTTGGCAGGTTAGTTCTTTTCCCCCCTTAACTATCCAAGTTAAGCATCAGTTATAGTCCCCCAACGCCTTTTGGTAGGAATTTGAGAACAACAAGATGGCTAGCTTATACAAACAAACCTGTCCTGGCCTATGAAGAGACTGCATTTCATACTAGCTGGGACAAGCCGACTTTAACACAACCCTGCCACACACGGTTACACAATCCACAAATAAAAACAGGTTGGACCACCCTTATCAAAAGGTTGATGTCTGTCATTTTCCCAGACCTCTGCTGATGACTTCAATTCAGATTTCACAGTTTTTCCAGAATTAGATTTCTTAGGGAGAGGCTAGCATCATTTCTTCTGGTGACTGTCCCTGGGAGTTCAAAGGACATCCAACATTCCTTTCTCTGGTGACCACACTGCCACTAGGCAGAAGCCATGATTAAACTGCTTCTCAGGCGGAGGACATCAAGTGCCTTGCTGTGGTTTAGTCTCGGAAGCTGGAATCCTTTCCAGTTATAACAACAATTCCGTGTTAAATTAGCCTAACTGAAGGCATTAAAAATAGACTTTCTTGTGCGAGGAAAGGTTGGGGTCATTTTCCAGCCACCTCTTTTTAAAACTATACCCCTTACCATCTCTAAGAGGATCTACGTAGGAAAAATTTCTGGAAATGGGACTGTAGCCGTTAAAGCCAGGTCAGAAGCAGCCCTGTTGCTGAAGACTGGGCCTGCTGGACTGGAGACCTCACAGACACCCCCACTCCCCCCTCACCCTCCCACCCTCCCACCCCACCTCTGGTCTGATGGTAGGGTGGTGTGGTGGTGGCTCCGTCAGGAGCAGGCAAAGCTGTGATATCTGAGAAGCAGATTTATCCTCTAGGGATGGAGGAGGGTTCTGGGAATTGCTGGGTGACACCCTCTGTAAAAATACAGACAGTTGGTCTAGCTTCCCAA